CTTGATTGACTCCAAACAATGTTCACCTGGTTTGGTTTCTCTCTTTGCTAAGACGGGAACTACTCGACGTAAAGCTAGGGCTTGTTCGCATCTGTCGTACGTCGCCGTAGCTCGCCAACCAATGGAGAGAAGCAACCAGCGATTTCCCCAGGGCGCCGGCGGTCAAGGAAACTTCGTCGCTAGGGGTTTTCAACCGGGGTATGGAGGAGGTGGGTCTCAGGCTGGGAGAGGTCGGTTTGCAAGGAGTAGGTTTGTTGCTAATCGAGGTTTTGGTCGCGGCAATGGCGGCAGAGGTTGGCATAGCAATGGCGGCAGACCGTGGCAGGCCGGCGATGGTGGAGGTCATCGCTCCGGTCGGTCAGTTGGATAACTGGTCTATCGGCAGCAATTTTGGTGCACAAGCCGGGCCATCTACTGGCCATCAGATGAACTTCGACGATAGGTACGTAACCAATTCACAGTGCACTATTTTTAGATTTACATCTGGATAGTTGACTTAGTCTGCGTTCGCATGAGAAGGGGATAAGACGAATTAAATGTCTGTTTCTCACACACACGTTACACGAACTGCTAAACAATATATTCTCTTCAAACAATTCACTGTTAGGAAGGGCTCTTTAGTCTCAGTTTTGCAACCCCTTTAATCATGGGTTACAAATCGGGACACCGAATCTAGAACTAAAGATGGATATCTTTAGTCCCGGATGAAATGGGACTAAGATGGTAGCACCACGTGGCTAGGCTACCATTTTTTACCAACCAGGACTAAATGTTAACACCAACTAAGACTTAAGGTTTTTTTCTTTTCTTTTTCCATTACTTTTTGTTGTTTGAATATTGATTTCAAATTAAACTCAACAACAAAATCATACACATTTACAAAAACATCACAAAATCATCAACAAATTCACAGATCGAATGAACATTCTCAAATTCACATCACAAATTTACATATCCATAGACATTACGTACAAACCAACAAATTCATATACAAATCAACAAAACCATAAATATCTGCGCCGCCTGCCGTGCAGGCCGTTGCCCTCTGTTGGCTTGAAAGAAAGTGGAGAGAGGAGGAATGGGAGGAGGAGGAAGTTAAAATGAGGAGGAGATAAGGAGAAGTTTGCGGTCGAGGAGGAGTTTGCTAGAGGATAAATGCGAGGGATTATATACGACGCGTCAATTTTTAGTCCCGGTCATAAAATGGCGTTGGGATTTTTAACCAGGCTAAAGAGTTCCGGTTCCTATTCAAACCGGGACTAATATGGTTTTTTCACCACCCAACAAAGATCACTTCTTCATTAGTGATTATATACACGAGTTGCTTTTGAAAATCATATTAATCTATTTTTTAAGTTTAAAATAACTAATATTAAATTAATTTTACGCTAATAGCTTCTCGTTTTACGTATCTTCTTAATTTTCTCTTTATCTCCTTGTCTCAAACACACTCTTAGGCTGCATTCTCTATTCTCCTCTTCCAACTTCTACTTCTCTTTTCGCGCGCACACTTTTGAAACTGCCAGGCTACAGGTTTTTTGAATAAAAAATCTACAGAAATGTTAATATAAAAATCATATAAATATATTTTTTTAGTTTGCAATGCTCAGACTTAATTAATTACGTGCTAATGAGTCATTCTATTTTTAATTAGCGTTATGCAACAGGGTTAGTACAGCAAGTACCATTGAGTAGTTTCGTTTCAACAAAACCATCACGTACTTATGGTACTTCTAGGGGTGCTAGATTTAAAGGCGAATAGCTATATTCTTCTAGTATTGACTTGGTGAAGGATTGTACTGTATGTCGTGTCGTATATCGTGTGACTTTGAGATGTACGAGCGCAAATTGAAGTGGCTAATAAATTTGAACAGCAATAATTCAGGAACTAGTAAATCTATTTTTTACTACCTCAGTTCCATATAAATTGCACTTCTAGCTAATTTAAGACAAAATAGTAGGATTGAAAAATTACCACAATGATCTTATTTAATGAACACAATAGATGCACACATTCCATATATAAAATTGATTAAAAAGAAGTTTGAGACAATTAAGGAAACATTTTTAGATTAAAAGAAAGATTGTGGAATGGAAGGCTGGGAGACCATAAGGAAACATATTTAGATTAATCAAGAGTAAATTGCATATTGGGTCACTATTTTTACCTGAGCTTGGACCAGGGGTATATCTACATTTTCATATTGGACCAGGTAAATTTACAAAAGTTTCACCTTGGGGTTGTTCTCAGACCTACAGCTCCCTCTCTCCTCTTTGTGCTCTCTCACTTTCTCTATTCCCTCATCGGATGCTGGGTGGGCTCAAGATGCAGTGTAGCATGAAGCTGTCGGTTGAGCTCGACTTAAGTGAGGCACCAGAGCTATTTGGACTAAGGTCCAGCGTAGAGTTGGGCTCAAGGCTGAGCGCGACACTGACGACAGCGCGACAGTGCTCAAGGTCATGGTCAAACGTGTAGCGACGCCAGTGTGGCTTGGTGGACGCTTCCAACCAATGCCGATGCTGATCCATCCATTCACCAACGGACTAACCATCCATTCATTTGTCTCGGACACATTGATCTCCATGCTGTTGGGTACATGGCAGGCTTGCTGGTCACCTTCCTAATGGAGAGGATCAGCCGATCAAGCCGTTTGCTAGCCGGGCGCCAGGTTCGTCACATTCCTAACGAGGCAGCCAGCGCAGTTCGGTGATGGTTAATTTGGGATATGGAGAATAGGAAGGAGAGCTGGAGGTAGAAGAACCAGCCCAAAGTGAAGCAATGGGTAAACATAAGTGGTCCAAAGTGAAAATATTTGTTTACCCCTAGTCCAACTTGCAACAATGGTAAAAAAAAGAGGCCCAAGATGCAATTCAGTCATTAATCAATTTGTTGGGTCCTACGTGATGTGACACGACAATTTTTCTTCCCCCCCTCCCCCCACACAAGCAGAGGTATCAAATGAGTTTTATTTTGTTATTTTTGTAAGACGTGCAACTGTATTGAATTATCGTTTGTATACTCTGACTGGTCCTGGAAAGAAATTTAATACACATCTGCTTGACATTCGGGTTAGCGAATTTCTGGGCGTGACAATTCGTCTCGTAAATTAGTCGTAATCTATACAATTAGTTATTTTTTGAGCATATATACTTTATGTAGGTGTTCAAACGTTCAATGTGACATGGTGAAAAATTTTGGGTGGGATCTAAACGGGGCCAAAATAGAGGAGGGAGTATGTAGTTTTGTTGTTGGCATTAGCGAGACGTCTCGCGGTCGCCACAGGTAGGGTTAACAAGCCAGGTCGTTTCACTGCTCTGCTGGTTGTCACGACACCCTGGTTGTCACTGCTCTGCTGGATGTCTCGCCACATCATTCGGCATGAGACGTATATTTTCCAAAAACTTCTAAAAATAGGATATTTGGAGGAAAACTATATATATCTATTATATACTAAAAACCCATTAAAAACCCATAAAATTTTGTATAAACGTTTTTAAGCTATCACGTATAACTTGTACAAACTTTTTTAAGTTACCACGTGACACTCTGAGACTGACTCACTAATGAAATTTATAGATCTATTATGTTTAAATAACTATGAACTGGCTGTGGGGAAAAAAGGAAGCTTAGGTTTCCCCTCCTAATGCTGCGCACAAAGGAATATAGTAATGACTATTTCGTGAACGTGCGGGAACTAGCCATCTCATGAATGGTCTCCCTACCACATTGTGACAATGCAGGGGTGGGGTTAGGGTTTCAATGGTGAGGATGAGGGTGGGGGTAGGGGAGGGTGGTGCCTGGGAGCGAGAAGTGGGGGATCGGGACTTAGAGAGATGGTCTAGGAAGCGGCGGACTGATGGTGGACAGAGGACAAGGGCATAAGTGATGCGGCGGCGGCGCCGCCGGAGCTACGGGGTCGGCAGCGAGCGGTGGGCCAGTGTTGGTGGTGGGCAAAGCGAGGCGAGGGGGAGGGGAAGAGGCCGGCCGGACAGGGCCGCGACAGCATGTTGACTCCTTTTTTTGCCGGCGAGACCGGGAGGCGGCACGGTGAGGGACGGTGGTGGAGAGAATATGAGTCGGTGGTGGAGCTTGCCGGAGGAAGGAGTAGGGGACTCACCGGAGGGAGGAGAAGGGGACTCGCCGTAGGAAGGAGGGGGCTCGCCGAAGTAGGCTGTCGTCATTGCCGGAGGGAGGTTGCTCGTCTGAGTCTCGTCTTCACCGTCGAGAAAAGCTCGCCGGAGGGAGAATGAGGGGGCTCGCTAGAGAAGGTGGGGCGAACTCACCTGCCAGCTGTCGCCGTCGTCTCGCCTCACCTGGGTGAGGCCGTTGGAGTTGTCGTCCCTCGCTCGCTTGCATCAATCGCGTGAATGGATGAAGAGAAACAACGAAGAGATATAAGGTGGAGAGAGGTAATGAAAGGATATAAGCATATTAAGAATAGTGCTAAGTAAAACATTTTTCAACTTTGACTAATATAGTGAAAAAATCAATCATGTAAAAATGATATTAAACACAATGTAACAATGTAACTCTTAAATATAGAACAACTTATTTTTAAAATATTATTAATCTAATATAGAACAACTCTTTATTTGACTAAAATAACCGATACTAAAATCAATGGTTAAAATGAGTCAAACAAAGTAGTTTAGAGGGTCTCCGAAAAAAAAAGTAGTTCAGAGGGTAATTTAGTCTTTTACCAAAAAACAAAGTGTTTGTTTGTGTCAGAAAGCGGGGGAATTTACTATTTTCCACTCTCTCAATATGCCAGTGCTCAAATGCCACTCTCCCAAATTTTCATTCCCAAATACCACTCGGGCCCACATGTCAGCCTCACTCATCATCGGGTCCCGCATCACTTTTGTTTGAATGGAGAGTGAGGCTGACATGTAGACCCGGGTGGCATTTGGGAATAAAAATTTGAGAGAGTGACATTTGAGCACTGGGAGAGTGGGAAATAGTAAATTCTCCCATGGAAAGCAGCCGTGGCCCGTGGGTCGCCATCGAGACAGAAATGCAGACTATTCCTAGTCTTGCAAATGGAGCTCTAATTATCTGTAGCAAGATTCCAATCGCCAAGAAAGACGCTCGATATAAACCGCGGAGGCACGAATTGCTGCTCAACCGGCGGCCTTGAAGTCTTTATCTCGATCAGTTGCCCACTTTTGCAGATTGCAGGGCGCGCAGTACTGCCGACAGGTACTAGTTATCTTTGGCTGTGTTTAGATCCAAAATTTGTATCCAAACTTCAGTACTTTTTCATCACATCAACCTGTCATACACACAAAACTTTTCAGTCACATCATCTTCAATTTCAACCAAAATCTAAACTTTGGATCCAACTAAACACAGCCTTTGATTTGCTTTTCTTTTGCCTTGCTGTGCATATGTATTTATGGATCATGTCACCCTTCTCTCTTGGCAGCAACTCAAGGAGAAACGCAGGTGCCTGCCTAGCCTCAGCAGGCAGGCATGCCGATCCCGGTTGATCTGGGCGAGCCTGACAACAGGAGGTTCTTCGTGTGGGTGGAAGACAATATATTGACGATATTACCACCTGATGCCGATGACCATGAGTACTCTGGATTTAATATGTGGACCGTCCAAAAGCCTTCAGCTGGCTCAACCGCCATTAACTTATTATTTCCAGGAGGCGCAACCGCAGCTGAACTAATGTACGCCGTTCCTGGAGCCTCCAAGTGCTCCAAACCCGAGGATGATGATGCCGTATACTGCGTCGAGGCCCAAGGTAACAACATATTGGTGATATGTTAACATACTCATTCCATACTCGTATTAGAAGTCGTTTAGGACAATATTTAAGTCAAACCTTAGAAATATAAATCTTGAATAACTCTCAAATTGTTGAGTTTGAAAATATAAAAATTATATCAATAAATTTATCTTGAAAAATACTTTCATAAAAGTATACATATATTATTTTTTAATAAATATTTTTATAGAAATAAGAAGTTAAAGTTGTGTTTTAGAAACCGTGTCGCTTTCTACAAACGACTTCCTTTAGTAGGACGGAGGGAGTACACTCGTAAGATTACCACACATGCCCAATCTATTATCCATGCACAGATTATTTTTGTCTGATTTTTTTTGGAGAGGATTATATTTCTGACTGATTATTCATGGCAGTGTAGTCGCAGCTCATATTCCATTACCTTACCTTATTGATCTCTACTACTTTAATAAATTATAAATTTGTAATTCCTGTTTCCATCGTCCGTTAATCTAAAACGCGTGCTAGTCGCGCGTGGCACGACTACGACCGGTCCATGGCACGACTCTCCAATCGCGCCATCTCGTTTGTATCAGCGCGACTCTCCGATTCTTTTCCATTAGGAGAGTATAATATAGAGTTCTAACAAGGGTAAGAAGGGTAAATGCTGAGATAGATAAGAGAAAAGAGAAGACAGATGAGAAACGGGTTGTAAGATGTATAGGAAAAAAAATCTATGTGATAGACAGATGGACCATATATTTATGATGAAGAGCTAATCATATATGAGTGAGCTGAAAAATAAGTTATAAAGATCTATAAAGTAAATAACTCGCTGAATTATTAGCCTTACCCTAAGATGCGGATAATTTCGATCTTGTTTCCCACCACTTCATCCTTGATACGCTGCCGTCGTTTCATGCACAATCTTCTCCGCGTCCTCGATTTCTTCAACAAAACCAACGCCTCATTTTCTTCCAAAACACTAAAAACGAAATCCCCATGTTTAGATAAACACATAATGCTCTTTTGCTTCAATCCGTTTCTAGACCACAGTCATTTTATTTGTTCCATCACTACTATAGACACTATTTTTCCTGTGCGTTTGGGTTTATTATCTCGTGCGGTGGATCGGCCCGCTTGCAGCGCCGTATCTGGGAAAATCGATATATTTGTGTGTGGGCGGGCTGATCGTACGAAATAATCGATTATCCCGTGTCAAGGATCGTTGTGGCTTCAGGTCTAGACTGGCGTTTTATTCAGTACATGTACCCCCTTTGAAATCAATAACTAGCTAGGAAGGAAACCAGCGCAGATACGTGCGCAATTTTATGAAAATAATGCTAAAACAAAGTCATATCTCATCATTTATAAGCTGGGAAATAGATTATAGACTTTAATATAGTTATGTAATAAGGTTTTCTCCTAGATTAAATAAAATTACTTTGCCCCTGTTATATATAAATTTCCTTGTTGTCACTTCAATATATTATCACTGTTTAAAAGCCAAGTAACTATTCATAGATGAACTACATAAAGTACCAATAAAATAAGCCTAAAATATCGACTACACGTAAGTGTTTCATGCCTCACCAATTTTAAAATCTATATATAAATATTGTAAAAATACCACTTGTATAAATTAATGGGTGTTTCTCTAATGAGCAATGCTACACGTACTAAATTTTTCTTGCTAAACTTTTACTAATAATCATCTCAACCGTTTGATTTAAGTAGATGGAAGTTATAAAAAAAATCTAGATGCACTCATAGCATGACACATCAGTGTTAGTAAGAATTTAGTAAGAAAATGTTAGTACGTATAGCCTTTAAGTGAAACTGATTGTAACGACTTTCTTTGTCTGTTACTTTGAAAATGGGTCCCATATCGATGCAGTTGTACCCTCCCCCAGACCAACCTGGAGCATAATTTTAATCTCTAATTTACTAACACGTCCTTATGGAGTAGTGCATCGCTAAGTAGTAAGTTGAGCATTATTGGTGTGACGGTGGTCTCCACTGGGACCGCATTAACTCGAGTATATGTTTATGCTTATAGCAACGTAGCAAACTACATTATTCATGCTTGGTGCCCTTTATGGAAGAAAAAAGAGAAGATGGAGGAATCAAAATGTTTTTTTTTAATTTTGAGTAGATTCATTGTATAGAGTAGACACCTATTGTTTATGGTGTTAAACATTACAAATACTGCAATTTGAAAATGAGCGAAGTTATAATTCGACAATACTAAAAAAATTATAACTAAATAGACATACCACTATGATAATTATCATAGCACCATATTGTTATTTATATTTTGACAAATATATATTATAGCGTTTGGTTTATTTTCAACCCTTATTGTTAATAATCACGTGAGACACCTTTACTCATTAGAAGAATGTATTTATTGTTTTTCCAAATTTATTAACAATAACTAATTTGTGGGAGTATATGGTAGAATTTAATTTATTTTTTTATATGATACTATATATGTATATTTTTTTTGGTTTCATCTTTTTTGACACGTGGCTTTATTCTTTTACCATACGTATGTGGGAATGTTTTTTTTCTCCTTCCAGGCGAACCCTACGTAAAGCTTTATCGTTCTTTTTCAATCTTACGTACTTACTTTTTTTTTTTTGCGAACCTATTCTCTCTCGTATGTATAGGTGGAATGTATTAGTACAACACACACAGATATATATATATATATAGGACACTCATATGGGGCACCATGGTGTCCGGGCACCATGGTATCTAATGCACAAAATTACTCAAATTTTTCAAAATTTTCAAATTGTGAGTATATACCTAGTTATAATAATTTGATTCATACCTATACTTATCAACAAAACAACTCAAATTTAACTTTATTTCACAATCCATGATTACATACCTAACTAATTATATGTATGGATGCTATATACCTAGAATCAAAATCTAACAAAAACAAGTTCAAATTCAGTTCAAACTTGCTTTAAACTAGTTAGTAAAGTAGTTAATGTTAATACCTAAGTAATTGAAAAAGTTTCATACTCATTTGAATTGGGTATATACTCAATTTCAACAATGGTGCCCGGGCACCATTGTTGAAATTGAGTATATACCCAATTCAAATGAGTATGAAATATATATATATATATATATATATATATACACACACACACACATATATATATATATATATATATATATGATCCATCAATTTAATTAAGTGAAAATGAATGGTACAGACCACCAATTTAAATGAAAATCGTCGGTGAGATTAAATAGTACCGCATGACGGTTTAAAAGCGTTTATATAGGAACGCCACGTGACGTATTGGGAGTGTTTGTACAATATTTAATGGAATTTTAATATATAATAGATAAATATCATTGACTTGACCTCACAGCACTCGAGAATATTTTTTTGCTCATAACGTTCCGATGGTTCCTGTAGGATCGAATCAAAAGAACTAAGCCAATCAAAGGGGGTGAATGGTTGGTATACCAAAAACCAAAACTTTTAGCGGAAATAAAAGTTACCCTCAAATTAAATGGATCGTAGTCTTACAGAAGTAGATGCGCCGGTCTGACCGCCTGATGAAAGTCGGTCTGACCGATGTAGATCGATTGGTTGAACCGCCGAAATCACCTGCCACTGCCTGTCGCCGCCGCCGGTCTGACCGCCTACATGCCGCCAGTCTGACCGCCGGTGAGTTGCCAGTTAGATCGCCGCACCCGGGAAAACACAAATCGAATAACTCTTAAAGTGGATGACAACTTTATTGATTCTCTCTGTGTTTACAAAGTGCACCAACAGCACTCCTTACAAAAGTCTCGACTAAACTCGAAACCCTAACTAAACTATCAACTCAATGCTCTCAAAAGCGATACCAGGAAGCCTCACGCTCCCTCTCTATTTATACATGAGATAGTCAGCCTAAAACCACGAACCAAACTCATATTAGAAGTTCTAATCCCCATAGGAAACCTTCTCGTACAAGAAACAAACTTTACATAACCAATCATACCAAATTTGGACTCCTTCCAAATTCGACTCCGCATCTCATACGCACACAATATCACCATCGTATGCCATAGGGAATCTTCACCAACCACTTGCATTGAACTCTAGCCCAAGTATCCCGCATGATATCTGACCACCACGGACATCGCCTTACCACCAAGTCGACTCCCGGTCCATCACCGCAAATACTCTCCCGAGACATCAAGTCACCTACACATGTAACAAACAAAGAAACCATATTCCGAGACCAAGCTATTCCCAACTTGACTCATTAGTTGCAACATACGTATAGTATCCATCTAGAAGTCATAATCATGAAACAATCACGGATATCCAAATAAACAACCCGAAACCAAAATCGACACAGAGTTGGCCGATCAGACCATAGGCTGCGTCGATCTGACCGTGCAATACACGCTGGTCAGACCGGCAACACCTGCCCGGTCTGACCGGACCACATCCAGTAGTACCTGCAGATCACCTGTAAAATCCAATCATCTCCAAAACCACTTTGCAAATAAATTCCAAATATCAAAACCAATAATCTCCAATGCCAATTGTTCATCACAGAATAATAATCAAAAACACCTTTGATTTTACAATCTTCCCCTTGATGAACACATTGGTAAACCCATCAAAATTGTTTTGTTATTTGGAAAAATAAAAACAAAAGTGGTAAAAAGCACACTTCATACAAACGTATACATCATACTCGAAAATCCAAAAGACTTCTCTCACTTTTGAAAAGAAAGAAATTCCCAATTGAAGCAAAAACATGCTCTTCTCAAAAACTCATTTGCTTTCCTTTCAAAAACACATTGCTTCTCCCCCTTTTGACAATGATTTCATCAAGCATAGGAATTATGTTCATTAATGTTCAATTTTCAAGAGCTTAGCATATATATAGCATATCATGTCATGTATTGCAATAAAAAGAAGATGAACACATCTATAATATAGCAAGAATGCATTAAAGTATAATTATGAACCAAAGATTTTACAATTAAGCTGGAATCAACAATCAAAATTCATGATTTCAAACGATTTATAATGCAACATATTAACAAGCACATATGTTGAAGAATAAACACTAAACACATATACCTATTGCATTTATCACTCTTTCTCAAATAAGCTTTAGCACAAAACAACCAAGAAAATTTTTAACTTTTTCTTTACTTGAGCCTTTTTCTCATTTTTTCTTGATTATTCTGGGTACGTCCTTGTCGTCAAGACCGTTTCCAAGGATTCGGCACCCATTATTTTGCTCACATCAAATACATCGTTGTCGTCAAAACTGTTTCTAAGGATTCGGTATTAATTTTTTTCATATTTTTTATTCTCTTTGCACAATGAGAAATTACAAAGCTATTTGAGGAATAACAATTTAATTAAGTATATATATAAAGCATTTACAAATCAAACCATATGCTAGCATCAATATTGCATATTTGCTTAATTCAAGTATAGAATTTAAATGCCAAGCATGTAGGATCGTAAAGGGCCTTTCCCAACCCAAAAGCTAGCCATTGAGGTGAGGGGCTCCTCCACTTACATCTTAGGTCCTTCGCCCTTCCACAACCAATGTGGGACTATTCAACAATTTCCCACTTCACACATTGGTGTCCCTCAGCCCCTTCACCGTATCCGGGTCCCACCGGCCCACGGTCCATCAAGTATACGGGCCCCGCAGGCACCCACGGTCCATCAAGTCTTCACACACTATGTCCATCGGGCCAGAGATGTTAACCTAGCTAGGCTCTGATACCAGGTGTAGGATCGTAAAGGGCCTTTCCCACCCCAAAAGCTAGCAATTGAGGTGAGGGGCTCCCCCACTTATATCTTAAGTCCTTTGTCCTTCCACAACCAATGTGGGACTATTCAACAGTTCCAGCATCGTAGCTCACATCCATCTCCACAGTTCCCTTCTCTGATCCATTGTCTCGTCAATGTGCATGATTGGTGCACTTGTGGTTTGATCGAACTAAGTGCCTGAACCCAAAGGGAACTACTGTTCCGTACAGTTTGACCAAGCCAACTTAACGAATCGGGACATTTAACATTTTATCACTTTTAAGATCTGGCAATTAAAAATGTATCACTCGTTATCTATTACATGTGGACCCTTATATGTCTGTGCACTACTGGAGAAGTGGGCTTTAGTCCCGGTTTACAACCCCTTTACTCCCAGGTTGTAAACCGGGTCCCCGAATCCGGGACTAGTCCCGGTTGACATAACCGGGATTAAAGATCCATCTTTAGTCCTGGTTGGGGTTACCAACCGGGAGTAAAAATATTAGCGCCACATGACTGTTGCTCCTTTTCTTTTCTTTTTTTTAATTGTTTTTTGTACTTGCATATTGATTTTGCACCGAACTCAACAACAAAATCATTCACACAGAAACATCACAAAATCATGCATGAATTGACATAACAAATTCATCTGTAACTTCACCGAAACATCTAAAATCATCTAGAAATTTACATCTCAAAATCATCAACAAATTCACAAAACCATCTAAAAATCATTCACAAATTTACATCACAAAATCATCCCCAAAATCAACACAAAAATCATCCCAAAAATCATCACAAAATCATCCCCAAAATCATCACAAAATCATCGATCCCCTCCGGCTAACTTGCCCGCCGCCGGCTGCCTCCCATCCAGGCACGCCCACAGCCGGCTGCCTCCCTCCGGCCGGGTCGCCGCCCGCAGGCATCCAGGCGCGCCGCTGCCCGCACCTCCCTTCGGTGCCCTCCGGCGCGTTCGCCGCACGCCGCCTCCCTTCAGCGCGTCCGCCGCCTGCCGCCGCCCCACGCACTTCCCCGGCCGTCTACCACCCGCATGCGCCGACGAAGAAAAGATAGTAAGAAAGAAGATAAGAAAAGAAGAAAGAGAGGAGTGGATAAGAGAGGAGGAAGTGGAGTGGAGTAGTAGAAAGAAGATAGAGAGGAGGCTGAGCGTGCGGATACGAGTAGATAAAGAGAGAGAGCGCGCGTAATATTTACTCCCGATCATCAACCGGGATTAAAGATTTATCTTTACTCCCGATTGGTAATACCAACTAGGATTAAAGCTCATTAGGACCTGCCAAGTATCGAACCAGGACTCATTAGAACTAGGACTTATTAGGGACCTGCCAAGTATCGAACCAGGACTCACGGTTGGTGTCAAAAAATGATTAAAGCTCATTAGACACCTGCCAAGTATCGAACCAGGACTCATTAGGGACCTGCCAAGTATCGAACCAGGACTCACGGTTGGTGTCAAAAAAAAATACCCGTGGAGATTAAAGCTCATTAGGGACCTGCCAAGTATCGAACCAGGACTCATTAGGGAGCTGCCAAGTTTCGAACCAGGACTCACGAAAATACCCGTGGGGATTAAAGCTCATTAGGGACCTGCCAAGTATCGAACCAGGACTCATTAGGGAGCTGTGTCAAAAAATATCCATGGGCTTTAAAACCGGAAGATAACCAAGGCTATTGTAATTTTTGCCTGACCCAGCAAAGATCACTTCTCGTCCAGTAATAAATTTTAAAACCAGAAGATAACCAAGACTATTCGTCCAGTAGTAAATTTTAAAACCGGAAGATAACCAAGACTACTGTAATTTTTTTGCCTGACCCAGCAAAGATTACTTCTCGTCCAGTAATAAATTCTTTATCACCACATATAAGAGTGGTAAATAATTAATTATTCCTAACGAACTACTTCAATAGTAACTCATGCCGATGAATGCTACGTAACACTTCAATAGTAACTCATACCGATGGATGCTACATACCAGTTGACACGTTACTTTGAAAAACAGCTTAATGTTTATTTGGTATTTTTAATCATTTTGTCTTATTTTGAATAAATGTGTACTGCTCACTTTCAGATATTTAATAGATGATACCCCGCGCGTTGTTGCGGAATTTTGTAAATAGATTCTGAGAGATACATGAGGGGATATAAGATAAATATAATAGACAGCACATAGGAAATGTCTGTTTTATTATATTCAGCAAACAATGACATTTTTCATACGATGAAATTTATTAACCGAAGCAACAAAAGTGATGTTTGATCACAAATTTGTTTTTTTACCTCCTCTTCAATTGTACTTAGCTGCATGTGAGGTAATCCATTTTTCATGTATGAGTAGGAACATGAGTGTCTTGAAGCTTCGGTTTGCTGTGGTCTCTGCCTGTGGATTTGCCCGTGACAGACTGACAGCTATAGAAACTGTTGGCATCGTAGAAGAATTCATTTGAACAATTGCATGCCTTCACTTGTGGAATATGGACAAAACAGAAATGAACATCACCATACAAAGGTTTGGGTAGATTCATGACAGGAAATAATAGTAGTTTATGCTATGAAGTATAAAAATGTGAAAATAATGCAAAGGTCATAAAAGATAATTTGAGGCCCCTAAACACAGAATTGAAGGTAATAACATTACTAATTGAGGATTAGAGAAAACCTGTTGGCTGGTTGTTCATGGTCCATGTGTGGGGATGAGTATAGTGCTGTTGAGTATAGGAGGAATGGGAAAGATAAGCTATTGTTGGGAGAAACCAAGTGAGGTGTCCCTGATAGTTATATAAGTTGAGTGGTAATGGTGGATTGAGTTAATTGTGGAGATTATAGGTATAATAATGTTTGCCATGTGGAGATTATAAGTATTATATTACAATTAAACACTACTTTTGGAGGAGTTATTTGGTAGTAAAACACATGCATGAAACATCAATGAAAATTTGTAAACTTTGAAAGAATAAATGTGAACAAATCTGAATGAAGAAAAAATGAAGCCGAGAAGATGGCATAGTTGTTTTGAGGAAATTTGTTGCGTGCACCATAGCCTAGTGTGTAGTGATTTTAAAACTAAATAACTATGTCTTGTCATCTGGAAAGTAAAAAATCATCTATTTTATTTAAATTCTTATCTGTTGGTATAAATATGTGAAGAGAGCACCAGAAACTCCCCATCTTTAGTTTCTTTGTCATGAGAATATTAATGGACAGTTGTTTGTTTGGTGATAAGCGTGCGCCAATAGAAACAAAATCACTTGTAGCATTTTTGGACTGAAAGATCTATACAACTCAAGATAAATAGTTGCACTAACCTGATGAATCTCCCTTTTGTCAATTGATTTATTTTATTCTACCATTATGAAGAACATCCTCTGTAGTCCAATCAGAAAGAACAGAAACCTGGAAAGCATCAATCACAAAACCATAGCTTATAGACCTGAATACAAATTAGGGGGAAAAGGATCCTCTAACTTTGGCTGGAAAGCCACGGTGTTGCAGTTCGCTTCATCCCTGCCGACCACTGCATCCAATGGCACACATCCATCTTTCCTCCTTTGCTTGCATGCTGTGCGGCCCAGTTCAGCATGCAGCGGCCATCGGCGCCCATCTGGCCACAATAACTTTGTTGTATGCTGTCGCCTGCTACTACATGCATGAATGCAAAGTTTCAACTTTCAACAGAACCTGAACTGCTGAAGCATAAAACAGATATAAACCATTTAGAATAATTCAAAATAAGACCTAAGTTTCAACTTTCAAGTAGCATCATTCATGCACTGCAAACCAACAAATGAGTTTTGGACAGCACTATAAGGCCATGGATATTGTGACTAAAACAGTAGGATTATAAGCAAGATCTCCGTTAATAGTTGAGTGTAACTATTAATGACCCTATATTCCTCAGAATCTTTTGTGTTGCCCATCAAAGCAATATCTGTTTGCTCTGCTTCCTAACCATCATTCTTAGCCTTGAAAGATTCAGAGTAAAAATTAGTCCAGTTAGATTACATTGATTTCTAAATGATATTTAGACGTCCATAGCAACACTCAAAATCCATGACCTCATATCACCAATGACAACTTAGATTAGTACTATTCACCTGTTGGATTCGTGGTGCTCTCTTTGAGCCTCTTCTTCCATTTCTTCACCAAAGCAGAAATTGACCGATGGTGGAAGATGGATATTCAATTGATTGCTTCTTGCTTTCCCTGTACTTCATTACTTCGTTTTCTTTTAGAACCCAGAAAGAAAGGATCAAAACCCAGAGTGTTCTATACTTTGGCACTAAAACTGAGCGAGGGCTGCCTTTTTCCCTCCACTACCTACCGCTGCACCCCTGTTTTTTCCACGCCGGCCGTGCTGTGATTTTGGGCCGAACTGGATCGCACAGTATGCAAGCAAACGAGGGAAGATGGATGTGTGCCGTTAGATGTAGTGGTCGGCAGGGATGAAGCGAACTGCAACACCGTGACTTTCCAAGCCAAAGTCAGAGGATCCGTTTCCAAATTAGGGATATCTTATAGCAAAGGAGGATTAATATGGCGCAATATGTGCCTCAATTTTAATGTCAACACTGAACTAATGACAGTTTAAATTTTAGCCAAAGATAGTTTACACTGGAAATATCTGGAAGTGCTGTTGTGGAAGAAATTTCTTGTATTTCTTGCGAAGCTAGTACCCTGGGATGAACATATATATTATTTTCTGGAAATCAGGTGAACATAGATGAATATGAAGCGAATTGAATCATATGTATTTCAGATAGAAAAGGTTTTTACATTTTCTTTTTTTGACCAGGAAGGTTTTTACATTTTCTTGAAGGACAAAGTACCTTATGTAGCAACTATTTTAGACAGGAATGTGAAGGGAAGCTGGGAACCAGGCATAACCTCTGCTGCAGCCTGTAGGTGGTAGCAGTACGACCCAGTAGAAGGCTATCTATCTGTTGATAAGAAGTAAAACTCAAAGCAAGAAGTAAAACCAATAGATGCTGCAATAGTGTAAAATTAGGAATAGGTACCTCTGATCTTATAGTTCTATCATAATTGGAGGCTCCTAGTATACAAAATATTGATGAATAGAAAGAAAGCAACAACCTGAAGAACAACAGAAACCAAATCTTTTTTTTATTATTTTTATAAACGGAGGGTGTGTAGGAACAAATCAACAACTTGAATGAAAGCTTGAAATGGCTATAAGAAGAGAGGGCCGACATATCACCAATTAGATGAGCATACTTACAGAGGGAAACAGGTCGTTTTTTGGCGTGCTTAGGGTCTAGGCAGTAGTATGCGCGTGCCAACCGATGAGGTCCTCTAATGGTGCCCATTCCATTTTAATGGAGTCGAGGGGGAGGCCGACGGCACTGGAGACGAATGAAGCGGATGTTTTCCCACAAGCAGGTTTATGGAGCGATGGGAGAGGAAGGTAGGCGAGCAGATCAGGAGGGCCACAGGCAAGAGAGGAAGCGTCGTGAGAAGACCGAGGGGCAGCGGTGGGGCGAGTTGGGGCACCTGCACGGGAAGGCCTGCCACCTGGGGAAGGGAGAGGGGCAGGGGGAGGGGGAGGAGAAGCGCCGGAGTGGGGGAGTGGAGGAGAAGCGCCGGGGGGAGGGGGTTGGAGGAGAAGCGGCGCGGCTGGGATGCGTGATGCGAGCGCGTCGCGCGGGCTGGTGGGGAAGGGAGGAGTCGCGCGCACGGTGAGAGGAACGCGCCCGGCGGCGGCGGCGGAGAATCTGGTGCGCTCGGTGGAGGGAGGCAGCGCTTAGGGATGGAACGGATCGAACCGTTTGCAGCAGCTGATCGAACGGCTGGTATTAAAAGAGTGACGTGGCTTCACCAGATCTCAGCAAAATCCTAATAACTACACTAAGTAAGGATCACTTGTATAGAATGCCAATTGGATTTATACGTTGTAGGATCGTAAAGAGTCTTACATTTATGCCAATTGGATTTTTAGGTGTAGGATCCTAAAGAATCTTTTCCATCTTAAAAGCTAATCAATAAAGTGAGGAACCAGAGATGCTGAACTAGCTAAGTTTTGATACCAATTATAGTATTGTAAAGGGTTTTTCCTATCGTAAAAGCTGCCAATGGGGTGTGGCTAAATGGGCGATAAATCACCCGCCCCCTCCCCCTATACGCTCTCCCCCTTCCTCCTTCCCTTCTTCTCTTCCTACTACAGTATACCATAAAATTTTTTAAAAAAATAAAAAAAACAAAGTTGGAAAAAATTATGTATAGAAATACTATATATAAAAAATATTTGAATTTAAATTCAAATTGAAACGGGTATGTAAACTTTTGACTTATAAACTTTGGGTCTATAAACTAATATTTGAATTCAAATTCAAATTTCAACGGGTATGTAAACTTCTGACTTATAAACTTTGGGTCTATAAACTAATATTTGAATTCAAATTCAAATTTGAAACGGCTATGTAAACTTTTGACTTATAAACTTTGGTCTATAAACTAATATTTGAATTCAAATTCAGCTTTGAAACTGCTATGTAAACTTTTGACTTATAAACTTTGGGTCTATAAACTTTAAGTGTATAAACTTTAGATGTATAGAAATACTATATATAAAAAATATTTGAATTCAAATTCAAATTTGAATCGGATATATAAACTTTTGACTTATAAACCTTGGGTCTTTAAACTTTAGATGTGTAAACTTGATGTGTATAAATTTTAGGTGCATAAATTCACTAAAATAGGAAAGTAATTCGATGCCAAAAAAGGAAACCACGTGGAGGGAGAGAAGGGGGACCCCCTGATCGGTGCTCACTAGGGGCGATCGATCACCCCTTAGCATTCTCGTAGCCAATGAGGTGAGAGGCTCTCCCACTTATATATTATATCCCTTACCCTTCTAGCAACTATTCAACAATAGATAGTGCTACGGTCTTTCCAGTGCGGCATATTTTTCATTAAAAAATTGCAAACACACTTGATCTTAGATCTGCTTCATTCATAAATATATTGGTTATTAGTATTTTTCATTAAAAACATAAACCAAATGTTCACGATGTTTGCTAGATACTCAGAAGTACTGAGAGGTAGGATAATGTGTATCGTTGATTAAGAGAGGGGTAAGCTATGGAATAAAATTATCGTAAACGATGGCAGTGGGGTTATTAGCTAGGAAAATGAGATTTTTTACTGTCCAGCAGGTACCTTGGTACCTACCGGTACCTACCGGTACATGCAATTTGAGCCATCGATTTCGTTTGATCCAATGGGTGAGAAAGAGTTGTACCTAGTAGTACTGTCCACGTGATTTTACAGAGCATAGAGAGGTACTAAAGAAGCAAGGGTAGTTAAGTAATTTCACATGTATCTTCTTCATCTTCCTCCTGTCTTTTCTCTCTCCAAAAGATGCTGCATGCCTGCATCGATCGATGCCTCTCACCAGGGATGGACAGGCTAGCCGTAGTGGAGGTGGAGGGGGCCGACGAGCCTCCGTGCATCACTTCCCCCAAGCTCGCCGGTGACATACGCCTACTGCGGCCCTTCCCCTAATCTCGCTGTTGGATTCGAGCACATCAGCGACCGACGCAAGTCCTCGTCGCCTCCGCCGCCGCGTTAGCAGCCTCCGACGCAGGCGCCGCCGTCCAACACCACCAGCGCCGAGCACCCCTCCTGCTCCGCCAGCGCCCAACGCGCCGCCGTCCAACACCCCGCCGACGACGCCCCCGGCACCACCGGCGCCGACCACCCCTCGTCCCGCTCCCACCACGCCCTTGCTCTTGGTTTGGACTTGCTCAGTTGCTCTTGGAGTCTTCGTTGACAGTCACTCAGTCAGAGAGAAGGAGCATCACGAGCTGCTTAGCGTGTGAGATTTTCAATCTTACCCTCCGTGAATGAACGGCCGGATTTAAATTGGTACCTCAAGGTACCGGTACCTCGAGGTACAATATGCTGGACTGGAGCAATGCTCTAGGAAAATACAGTGTTTTTCTGTGAATTGAGAATAGGTAGCTGCCTGTGATCGGTATCGTTCAATAGGAAATGGAGTAAATCTTCCAAAGATTTAGTGAACTATCTGCACGGGATTTAGTGGTTATTAGTATATCGTTTGGTTGAAACAAAGTAAATCTTCCGTACATTTAGTGGATTGAATTGATCTGCAAGGGAGAAAAAACAAAGATTGATGTCTCCTTTGTTCTCCTCCACCGCTTTGTTCTTGTCCATGGCCATGCCTCCGCCCTGCCATCATGCTCCACCGCCACTAACCACTCCCACACCACTTTCGTCGACAAGTTCAGGAAAATAGATTCCCTATCATCTGGGACGCATGATGACGCCCTTAGGTGGCCAAATACCAACTAAAGCTCGCTACCAGCCATTCTTTCTTTCCCTGAGTCAAACCCTAAAGCGCTCGCGTTCTGAGCGCTCTGGTTGTCATTTGTGCCTTCCTCCACTTCTCGTGGGTGCGCGGTGCCGTGAGACATGTCTTACCACCATCATCGTCATCATACAACCACCAAAATCTCGACGCCCTTAGCCTCCTCCTCCTGTTTGCCCAAGGCTTGGACAGGAGGAAGAAGACGAATAGTGATAGGATTGACACTGTTCTTTCTCGGTTGGGTCCAACAAACTCACCCAAGGCCCCAAATAGAGTTGGACCATGTTGTTAGATATCAAATGTAAATCAAAAAAAAACACATAAATAACACAGTGCAAGATTATAGAAGATGAAGTACCGATGCGGTACCTATGTACCTAGAGCTAATATTGAGAGACAATTATGGCCTTCTCCATCTCCAAAAAAAAATATTCTTTCATGTTTCTCACCTAAATACCTATAACAGTACTTAAATTGGTATTTAAGTGGTACCTTTTATTATGGAGCGTTAGATGTTTACCCTTTTTGGAATGCAAACACCGTAAAAGTTCTCAAAGCTCTCATATTTTTAATAAATGTGTATCTATTATATACTGCCGATGGTGGTAAAAGAAAACACACTTACTATTAATTTGCAAAAGTCGTTTACATATACATCATGCTCTAGATGTCATTTAAACCTATATCATCTGTCCAATTTTGATACGAAGATATCGTCGATCAGCAAATGTCAATTAGGATAACATCACTTTATTTGGGTACATGATAATTATATAGAGAGATTTGATTTACTTATCATAATTTTTAGCTTCTTTCTCATGCAATGTACAGAGACACTTTGCTATTAACTAGAGAAATAAAATAATTCTTATGAAAAAGAACCAAAATTTTTATCCTTTCTCTCCTTCATCTTATTCACCACCTGGTTAATCCCGTGCAGTTCACTTCATTGGAGAACAACTTGACGGTACCGAGTTCGTTTCAACCCGAGAAAATGGTGTTCCACAAAGGTTTATACTGGGACAAGGTAAAACCATATACACCGAATTCAACATCTTGATTCCCGAAATAAAAAAAACAAAGAACCGACAATCTCTAGCGAGATATTTTTTAAAATAATCGACTACCTTACGGCCGTGACTAATGGCCCAAAATTACGCAGACATTATTTTTCCTTTATCCATATTAATTGTTGGTATCTAAAAAGGTAGTTGATACTTATATTATTGGTGTCTAAAGTAGACAAATCTATCTATTCCGGTTTTCTGTTAGAGTTTCTATTGAATATTTGTTGAAAGTCAGCTAAAACTGGGAATTGTGATAGCTGTTAGGTGGTATTCTTTTCACCTGAATATGAAGATGAAAATGAAGTATAGTAATTAGACTCTTATCCTAACCTCTCTTAAACAGACTGACGCACCTATTATAATTGCACAGTGACTTTAGCATAGGCTAGGAACGATTGTTTGGCGGCGTAACCGGTTGATGGTCGTGGATACCTTAGATATGCTATAATTATACTAAATCAGGAAAGAGTGGCCATAATCATTGCTCCGAAGATATATGCTTTAGTTGAACTCCGTTAATAAATATTGTGCCTCGGTGTCGTTATCGCGTTTGGATCTTCTACAACATTCTTCAGCGTTCAGTCATCGATGTCGATTTCGAGGCCAGTTGTATAACATTTTCCTTCTTTCAAACTAAGAACTAAGAAATTATTGATACGATGGTTAAATTTCAATAGTTTGACTAAGTTTTTTACTAGGGCAGGAAGTACAAATTCGTGCTTTTCATCCAATTTTGATTAAACTCCTCGAAACACATATCACTAAAATTAGTTTATAAAACATATTTCCTTCTACATATTCCCTCTCGCTTTTAATAGATGATACTATTGACTTTAGGACATATGGACATATGTTTGACCTATTTCAAAAATATTAATTATTATTTATTTTATTGTGAGTTGGTTTATCACTAAAGTTATTGTTATGAAATTTTGGGGTGATATCGTCCATACCTTTCGATGGGATTGGCACCCCCGTTGAATAGGCACGGCGGTTGTACCGTGCCTCCTCACTCCTGCACTCAACAACAAGGAACCACATCAATAGCACCGTGTCCCCTCGCCCTCTCCGCGCTCCATGCAACCATCGCGGTGGTTCCCATCCATCGTGTACTCCGGTTGCCACCAATTACCCCTATATGTGTGTGTATGCAAGCCATTGATGAATAAGAATTCATTCCTTGCCAAAAACAGGCGTCGGCAAAGCCGTGTGCCCGCAAGAACGGCGGCGGCGGGGCTTCCCTCCCCTTCGCAGCCACCGGCGCCCGGCGGCTGGGAACGCCGCTCGGAGCGGCGGCGGTGGTGCCCAGATCCGCCATGGCTGGCCGGATCTGGGGGAGTGGCAGTCGGCGGCGGGGAATGAAGGTGGCGACGGTGGACAACGCGGCGGTGCGGGAGGTGGCAGCTAGGGATGCCGCTCGACGGTGGCGGTGCCCAGATCCGTGCCATGGCTGGCCGGTTCTGGGGGAGCGGTAGCCGGCGGCGGGGAAGGAAGGTGGCGGCGGTGGACGACGCGGTGGTGCCGGAGTTGGCGGCAGCGGCTGGCTGGCGTCCGCGGCTCCGGCTAGATCTGGTCGGCGGCTGGTTGGCGGCGGTTGGTGGTGACTGTGGCTGCCGACAGTGGCAGGTGACGGCGGCGGCTGGTTGGTGGCGAGGCGGCGGGTGCTATGGTGACTGCTGAGGCGGCAGCTACTGATGCGGCGGCTGGCGAGCTGTGGCGGCGGCCGGATGGCTGCTGTGGTGGCGGCTAGTGAGGCAGCGCCGTGGTAGTGGTGGCGGTGTGGCGGCGGCGGTTGGCGACGCTGGCGGATGCAGTGGCGGGGAAGGCGCGGAGAAGTAGGAGTCCAAGGGGTGCGAATGCGGTGTCGACGACCGAAAACGGGCGATGATGGCTGCGAAAGGACGGCGGCGGCGGCGGCGGCGGTGGTGGAAGGAGGCATGGCGGCTCAAATGGCTAGTCGAGGGCGTGGCAGACGGCTGGAGGAGGGTCGGAGACCGGCTTGGCGCAGAGAGGCGTAGCCGATGGAAGCGGAGGTTGACTCGGCGCGAGAGGCGCGGGCGGTGGAGATGGAGTCCGGCTTGGCGCGAGAGGTGCGGCCGATGGAGGGAGGCCGGATTGACGCTAGACGCGTTTGGTGGACGAGGCCGGCTTGGCGCGAGAGGCGCGGCCGGCGGTGGAGGAGGCGACCTTGGTGTGACGAGGAGCTGCCGGTGGATGTGGCGCGATCTTCGGTTCACGAAGGCTGGCCAGCGAGGGACGCCGGTGTAGTGGTCCCACATGTCGGCAGAGGTTGAGTGGTGGTGGAGCATCGTTGCATCAGCCGTGGATTCACAGGTGGTGAGCAGTGGGTGAAAACCTAGCCCGGCCTTGGCCGGACCGACAATGATGGAATTCCCCCTCCTGAGGGCGTTGTCGTGCTATCTCATCCCTCACGGGTGGTTGCCTGGCGAAAGCCCAGTCTTGGCTCCTTTAAGCCCTGACGAACAGCGGCGGCGGTTTTCCGTCGCTTCTCTTCTTGAAGACGTCGTTTTGGCATCCCCTAGCTGAAGCCTCTTGATCGGTGCAAGCATGTTGGCTTTGCATTGGTTCTGAGGGTGTTCTTTTGGGCGATCTCGTCTGTGTTCCTTTGTCGGTCTAGCGGCGGTTAGTCACGCTTAGCAGCGGCCGGTCCGGTGTTAGCCTTCTCCTGGTCTTGTGTGTTAGCGCTGTCGGTGTGTGGGTGATGGTATATTTTTCCTTTTTCCTGGTTACAACCCTTAAGGGTTGTAATCTTGTAATTTTTTCCTGCTCTATTAATAGAACTTCGCACCATCTTGTGCGAGACGTTAAAAAAAAAGAATTCATTCCTCTTGTTCAATCTCCCTCGCTCTCGTTAAATTTTGTGGTTCAACAGTTATATTAAGTGACTTACATTTTTACATATCTACATAAAATTTTGAATAAGGCAAATGGTTAAACATATGTCCATAAGCTAACTGTGTCATATATTAGAAACCAGAGGAGAAATTATTTAGTGACATTAGTTTTGTGAGTTGTTTGAAAGTATCGATAAATACAAATATATCATATTGTTACATGTGTAGTATGATACCTGCAATAAGAGGTATATACCTAGAGTACCTTTTATCGTAATATCTGTTGGTAGTATTATATTATAGTGTCAATATTGTCATTAATAAAAGTGATCTCAATAGTTGATTTATGGCTTCTACCACCCGTATAAAAAAAATAGCCATACTACCAATAGCTGATCAGGTGGTTCTACAAATAGATATAATTCATTTGAGTAAAAAAATAAACAGTTAATTATACTACCGTAGAAACCATACTATTATAGATAAGCTCTCCGTTATCTATTGGAAGTATTCTAGTACTAGTATTATCACCATGGTCAGTAGAGATGATTTGAATCGTTGATTTTGAGTTCTATTACCAATAAAAAATTATTATAGTATAATTAATCGCGGTGGTATTATAAGTAGATATGATGTATTAGACTAGAAAATTTATATAAATTGTCAAGATTGGTTCTACTACCACCATTGTATAAAACAACTCTAGAAATAATTAACTCATTGCTAGAATTCCATCCTCTTAAATACTTCACAATGTGGATCATCAAAATAAAACTCGCTTTTAGTGCAAACGATAGTCCTGCAAAATTCCTATATGAAACAAAAGTTTGCTAATCTTTGCTTTGTTGGGGCAGAGAATGTGATGCATGGCTTAAGCTTGGTGGTCAGCGCAATGCGACCAGGGGAGAGAGCTATATTCACCATCCCTCCAAAGTTAGCCATAACCAAGTCTGGCTCCCCTGCCAGTATTCCGTCAAGCATACCTCCCGAGCAAACACTACGGTTTGAGATTGAACTCATTTCGCTGTTTGCTATAACTGATATCCTCGAAAATGGAAGCATATTGAAAAAGATCATCAAGCGCCCATTACCGGACAAATCTCCCTCCAATCATGCAGATACTGTAATTGGTAAGTTCGTCACCTACCAGTTTTTTTTATCATAAACGTCCTGTTTTATTACCTCAGTTTCTTTTTTTCTTAACCAACTTGCTAAAAATTTACCTTTATTATCCTTAGTTTCCAAAAAAAAAAAACCTGCCTGATCTATCAATTCCATTATTTCCCCTGTAAATTTATTGCTATAAAGTATTACTCCCTCCGTTTCACAATGCAAGTTATTCTAGCATTTCTCATATTCATATTGATGTTAATAAATCTAGACATATACATCAATATGAATGTGGAAAACGCTAGAATGATTTACATTGTGAAACGGAGAAAGTATTATTCTTAATTTGCACTTGAAGTGATGTTCTCAATTAATTTTTTTTCCTCTCATATAGTGAATTACAACGCATGTCTAGAAGACGGAAATTCAGTTTCCAAATCTGAACGTCTTGAATTGAACCTTGCCAGTCGTACCGGTATCTCTCTCTCATACACACACTCACACATACACACAAATCGAGTCATCGATCGGTGACAACAAGAATTCAATGTTCTGACAAAATAAATGAATCCAGGTTTCTTTTGTCCAGCTTTGAAATATGCTGTGAAGACTATGAGGGAAGGAGAGGAAGCGATATTCATTGTAAAGCCAAGATGTAAGCTATGAATATCGAATTAGCTTTTACTATACTATTCCGCACTATATGCTTGATTGCTTAGCTTAGGAGGAAATAGATAAATTGTTAGCTTATGTAGAATTAATGGTTGTGTAGAACATATAGCAAATTAACACGGAAACAAATTAATGTAGCAAGCTAATTTAATGTTACTTCTAGTTTTCTCATTTCCTGGGGAATACTAATTAATGATATGCCGTATAACAATTTTGATTGGAAGGTATTCTGAAGTTACTCCCTTCCCAGAATATTGTAACCTAGCACCGGATGGTACGTATACGAGTACTACGAATCTGGACTCCAGATGGTACGTATACGAGTACTGGAGTCCAGATTCGTAGTACTCGTATACGTACCATCCGGTGCCAGGTTACAATATTATGGGACGGAGGGAGCAGTTGTTTGAATATCACGTCACTTTCAAGACTTATCTGAATTTTCACCTTGTCAAGAGCCTAATAATTCGGATTATCTATATACAAAAGTGGCAAAGATTTTGCCCTTCTTAAAAAAATATTTGGATTATAAATAAATGACTAGCCTTTTTTTTACACAAACAGCACAGTTTTAGATAAAATTTATTTGAATTACAATTGTATTCGATGTATATTCAGCTCAACAGCTCGTGATATCGATTGTGTTATGTAAAGACAAATGAATGTCGTATAAAGTTGCAATGTTCAATTGACACCATTAATTATAATATAATAGTTGGCATATATATTTCTCCTTTCTTCTAATCAAACAGTTAATTATATAAGTTGAGCATAAATTTGGTGGCTCTATGTAACCTTATCTCAATAGCATAATAGCTACTTCCTTTGTTCCAAACAATTATACAATTCTACCATTCGAATTTTGATAAAAAGAATACAATTGCAAGGTATCCATATGAAATTATTTCTCAATGGCGGTTTACATTTCTTTCGATCGTAGATGCTTTCGGTGCTCAAGGCAGGGATTCTACTGGAGACCAAGCTGCTGTGCCCCCTGATGCAACTCTTTATCTGTACGTCCAGTTAGCTGAACGGAAGACAGCTAAACAAAATGAAGCAGAGGAAAAAGGTATCCGCCCGTATATATCTGCTAATAAATACTGTATATGTCAGCATCTTATTATTATAGGGATGTTGAGCTCCAATTTTAATTAACAATAAGAAATTAGGTCCTAGTGAATTGAGTATACCTAAGGCTCATGTACTTTTCAACTTATTTACCGCCTTATTTAATTCATCCTTTAAAAATACATTTTCTTCAAAAAAAATTGAGAAATAAAAAAATATTTTATTATATTGCTTAGACCACTTGTTTAAATTACTCGCACTTTTGGGATCTAATCCTATGAAATTGTCGTACACATGTAAGAGTATTTAATGGCTAAAGCATGTTTTATTCAAAAAAAATGTCCAAATATAAAAATATAAAACTCATGCTTAAAGTCTATATATATATCTGTGTGCGTTTAATTGTTAAGATGAATAATCAGACGTATGTTTAAATGTTAAAATATCGTCTATTTAAAAACAAGATAGTTTAAGGATTCGATGGCCGGTCTGGTTCTTTTACTACGGTTTCCGGAGGCTGTAGAAATTCATAGTATGTTCGTTTGTTATGCACACCCTACTGCATATGCTAGAGATCAATGTTCCCCGTTTGTCCATTTCATTTTCATATGAGCAAGCATGGCGTAATGAGGGATCTATTTGTCTCTGTTATTGCCTGTCTGAGTCTAGAATGAGTTGTCATCCCTCAATTCTCTATCTTTACTATTATAAAATTGAAGATATTTTTCTAGTACTTCGGTATATTATCCGTATATGAATTGGTTTTTAAGTTCGCTCGCTTTTGAAAATACAAATCCGTATTTAAATCTGGTTTTAACTTCGTTTGCTTTTGGGAAGGTACTATCGTACACATCGTAATTAATAGCTGCTGGTGCTCTTAGGAAGGTATTATCTAATCGTAAATAATCAGTTCATTATCAGACGCTGATGTAGAGTCACCGCATACTAAGTTAGCCGACTCAATCTTACCCAAGTGCTTGCGTTAAAATTATTTTCATGTTTGATTGAACTTTCTTTTTATATAAAACGAAACTCAATGCGGCAATATTTAAACTCTCATCAACAATTCTATTTGTGGAATCTCTAAAAAACAAATAGCAAGACTACACTCTGGAAACATATAATTTTGGTAAAGAACAAATTGGCAGCGCACACTTTATGAAAACATATTAATTTGGTTAAGCATGTGCACATTGGGGTGGTTTTACAATAAAACTGAGTAGGTGGATGGGTATTTGCAACAAAATAAATTATGGGATGGAATGTCAAACTTCAAGTAATTTATGGGATGGTTTTTGCAATTTTCCATATATACAACTATAGTTTGTGTCAATTTGACCAATCCGGAGTCATTTTCTTTCATCCATGCTCCGGCCGATTTCGTCTGAAAAACATTTTGAGGGATACCAGCCACGTTCTTCATTGTGATGCAAATGTGCAGGACCATTCATAGATGGCCCGAATGAAGCCAAGACGACAGCCAGAGCTCTTCCCAAGGTAATTCAATGGCTGAAAATTTGGATGTGGTTAAGGGAAAATATACCATATTTATAGATATAGCGGCATCATTTTTCCAATCTATTTGCTGATCCCTCAACTAAGAAATATTCTATAAGATACAATAGAGGTTTTTAACACTGAAATTTGATCATTGAGAAAATTTATGATTCTTGAGAGGCAACAAACAGTATCAAATTTAGAGGTACCGAAATATATTAAATTTTACACTAAAAACATGATCATGAACCATAAAAGCAATATTGACCATTTGATTATCTCTTAATTTATGAAAGTATTATTAAATACGTATCCAATGGTACCACTTGTATGTCACTGAATAAGTTTTTAGAGTAACTGTTACTCAAAAGTTGAAAAATACTGATGTATTAAAAAATAATCAAATAAGTAAATGCATTTATTATATTTATCAACAGTGTGTACTTCCTCCATTCTAAAATATAAGGCACAACCACCTTTAATCCAAAGACCAAGAAATAATTATTATTATCTTTGTAGTTTGAATCATCCTAATAAATATAAGGCATGCATCCAATAGAGTTAGAGAATGTGAGAGTGAAGGATTTAAAAAGTAGTAATTTAATGGATAATATGTCATAGTTAATGGCATGCATACATGCAGGAGTATTAACTAAGTGCTATTACTGGGAGATAATTAACTAATTTACTGTATACTATTATGGAATGGAAGGAGTATTAACTAAGAGCTATTACTCCGGGAGATAATTAACTAATTTACGGTATGATCTTTTCAGCGTCGTCCTGTCAAGCCGGGATTCTCCTTGCCTGTAGTACAGAATGATAGACCTACGTATCCTGGACACGTTCTCTTCGTCCCACATGTGGTAGAAGAAGAGGAGGCAGATGCAGGCCAAGCTGCTTCAACTACTACTAGTGGTCTTGCTACACCGCCAACGACTGCCGCCGATGTTGGCACGAGTGCAGCCACAAACAGCAGCGCTGCTCAAGGCTCGGGGATAGTCAAGACGGAGACAGGTTTCCTCTTCAAACGTTTCAGGCCATGGCCTGCAAACTGAAGCGATCATTCGTGATCAATTGTGCCACTGTGTCATCACCGGATCATTCGTGATCAATTGTGTATTTCGGTTATACTAATAAGCTTGGACTCCTAAGGTGATTGTACTCGTGTCAGGTCGCGTTATTTTGAGTGTATCCCTTTATTGGGTTAACGTACTTTTACTTCTCTGTATATCAATAAAATAAGACAGTTTTTGCATTTGCTTGAAAAAGAGACAAAAAGCATTGCTGAATATCATCACCAGACCCGGACAAAATTTTGAGTCGATATGTTTTCTAGTACTGTACGTACTTGCTCAAAGACATACACCAATAGAGCAATTTTACCAATTCAATATTTGGTAACTCGAGGTATCACATTTTAAATGTACATAAAAATTTTGTACTTTAAAGTACTACTATCTTGAGATATCAATTTTTACACTATAGAATATCTCGAGGTAACAAATGCCAAAAATTTGTCGTATCTCGAGACACCAAATATTAGATGGTAAAGTTGCTCACACTAACAATAAAATATCAGTTCTGACTAAATTTATGAAGTTGGAATTAGAGTTTGTTGGCTTGGTTAGTGCTTCAAACACTGTGCTTGAATTTCTACCAAGTTTGTTTGCATTTTTTTTCCTGTTGATCTGCATTCTCAGGGATAAAAAGAGTTAAAGCTTAATACTATGCATGATTAGCAGAATATTCATCGGCTGATCGGCGTAAACTCGCATTAATTAAGAAGGATAGTACGAAACCAAATGGAAGCTGACTATCAATGTCAATTACACAACGAGAATAGCTTACCAAGTGTAATTCTTGACATTCAGCTTCAATTTCAACATGATCTGAACAGGGGCTACGTACCGGCGGGCTGGTGAGCACCAGGGTTTCACATATCGCACAATAATCGTGAGATTATCACGGTTATCACGCTTATCACGGGGCTACGGTAGGGGAAATCGGCGATATGGTTTGGTTGAATTTTGACCAAATTCAAAATTCCGGAAAAAATCGAAAAAAATGAAAAAAAAATCATGGATGTAGTTCTTTGATTTGTAATTGCTAAATTTAAATTTGAGGGCAAAACCAAAAATAGTTTACAAATTGGAAAAAGAAAGAGAATATTGGGCCTTAAGTATCCTACATATTCTTCCAATTATTCTGAATTTCTAGTTTTCTACACATATTCAACCGTATTTTTGATTTTTTTTTCCCTATTTATTTTACATTTACATGATTTCAGCTACACAGCCTGCGATAACCATGCAAATATCGCGGTAAACCATGCTATTATCGCGGTGAAACCGTGAAACCGCCGAGTTTTGAATTTGAATTTTTAGATATGATTTTTATGCGATTTTAGGGGATTATCGTGCGATTATCGCGATTATCGCGCTATCGTGGGGTGGTGATAACCCCGCCCAAACGATAAGGTAAACCCTGGTGAGCACAAATGAGTCTTGGCCGTTGGTGTCATCTTCTCTGGAGTGCGCATCAAAGCCATGGAGCGGGCCGCTGCCGTCGCCGAGGAAGTCTCCGCCGAGAACTGTTGGTGAGGCTATCTATTCAGCGCTGCAAGGGAAGGTATCATCCGTTTTCCCGGCGACCGTTTCTAGTTCTACCCCGGCTAGATTTCAATCTCCTCCGGCGGGGAAGATGTGGTTTCAAAAGTCAGATTTTTCTCCGGTGAAGTCTTCCGATTCGGTGAGGTTTCCACTTCATCCGACGGTGACGAATTTGGAATTTCCCAAACTTCCGGAGGTTACAAAATCTGAATCAATTAATGTAAGTTCACAATGTACCCCTTATCCAAAGCCCGCTATCCCCTATGGGCCCATACCCGGGTTTGTTGCTCTTTTTGCGAAAACTGGAACCGTGATGTCGCGCCCGGAAAAATTGCCTTTTCCCGAACGCTAGTGTATTAATCCCCGTCCCAGGAAAAGCCGGGGTACACCAAACAAACATGATACAAAAGGCATATCTTTATTATATCGATAATATTTACATTATTACAAAGGCGCTTAAGGCCTGACAATCAAAAATAAACAGCAACGGACTAGCGGGCTTACGGCTCCATCTTCACAGGCGCTCAACTGGGGTATAAGCCAGGACTCCACCTAAGACTTCTTCTCCAAAGCTTCTCTTACTGAAGAGGGGGAAAGATTGAGCAAGAATGAGTACCACCACAGTACTCAGCAAGTCACACCGGTAGATGCATGATTAATGCAAAGAGGGTACAAGGGGTAATAATAATAGGGTTGGGTTTTGCAGTAAAGAGCGTTTAAAAGACACTTAGTTGCTCAAAGCTATTTTGTAAACATGATCCTAGAGCTACACAATATTATTAATCAAGGCCGTGAACCCTCACGAACCTGCCTTAACCCAAGGCCTACGATGATTCGGACCGAACTGGCAACCTGACCTGGGTCCCAGCTCGTCCCAAGCCAACCCAGGCCAACCATTCCATATTTTAGTTGTTAAGCAAATTTTAAGAATTAAACCACTAACTTGGGTACATTGCTAGGCTTGCCCATATCCGAGGGCACGGCTATTCGAATAGATTATACTCTGATAAGAGGTGTACATGTTTACCCACAAGACACACCTTTACTCTGCATTCCATTGCAATTGGAACCCATCATAAAAAACGTGACATAACCCTTTACCCATCCTAGCCGTGAACAAAAGCACCAACCCAACCCTGCCTATGGCCGGTATCCCGGGACAGGCAGGCCAGGATTGAGCCCCTATCAACAGGATCTAGACCGGGTGCGCCACACACATAGGGGTGAGACCACCCGTGTACTAGTCCAGTGCCATGGCATCTCGACTAACGGGCACCGACCCGTGTAGCCTTCATTTGCCTAGACATCTTGATTACCGAGCCGCAGCTCGCGTAGCCTTCATTTGCCTCAGAGATATCCATCGTCGCAACGACTTCATCCATCTCTATCCGTGTTCTTTTGTTCAGGACTAGACTGAGCACCAAGTTAAGCCTTACCCATTAGACATGTGGTTAGTACGGTAGTGCTTTGCAACAGAGGCCCGAGCTTAATCCTTATATTGGCCGGGGTGCTACTTCCCACAGCTGGCATGCACCCAAACCCCACCGGAAAACAAGTTTTAGGGGTTTTGAAAGAGGAAGAGAGGGGTATGTCCAATTCCACCATAAGCCAACCATTCCACAGTGTCCAAGTGATATGAGAATCCCCAAAGTCTAAAGTTATAAAACCACCTAATGTTGCCTAATTAATCAGCGAAGCATCTACCTAAATTCATACAAGTGGAACCATGAATGGAGTATCCACTAGTTGGGGTTTTATTTATTCTAGGGTGAACAAGGTAATAATAACAATAGCAATAATAATAAGGTCATAACAAAGGTAAATAGGCATGGCTAAATAAAACAGTGATAACGCGGGAATTTAAATAAAGCGGGAATTTAAATAAAGCGATAGTACATTAATTTAAATCAAAATAATTTTATAAACTGGGATTCAATATGCTCAAGGATGATGCGACTTGCCTTGCTCAGAGAGAACGGCCTTCCGAACCTTCAGCGATGACCGCGACCCACGCTTTGAGAACCTCCGGAACGATAGGAGCTACGTGAAGCACACAAGCAAAGCTACAAGCCTATAAAGAAACAATAACAATACATAAAAAGAAAGCACAGGGTTCTTTAGGTTATAACAAACATTAGGAGACTTGAACGGATCGATTCGGAGTTCGTATGACCAAGACATGGTCATCCGAAGTTTAATGCTGTTATATGGAGATTTGCGGATTATTATAATTAGGTTTTGCAACTATAAAACATGTGTAAGCGCTAGCCTGGAAAAGACAGGAAGGCTGCACTGTTGACATGCGGACTCCACATGTCAACCTAAGGGACCACGGTGGACCGGGTACACAGAGACGGTCCACGGGTCGACGGAAGCGGACCCCGTGTGTTAACCGAGGCGAATGGCCGACAAACGGACTCCACCAGACACCACGCGGGCTGCACACGTGGAAACTACGTGGCTACCGAGCGGGCACACTAACACGGTCACCACACGCACACGCGAACGACTACCGACACCGGTACACGGGTACCGGGGCCGACAACCGCACAACGGGCACAATGGCAGCACTGAAAGGACGAGGGCGGGCAACGAAGGAGGGATCCTTACCACCACGCAACGAGGCGTGGGAACGACGACGACGAACGGGCGCGGCGGAGGCGGCTCGGGGACGACGGAAGCAAACGGCGAGGGAACGACTTCGGCGGCGATCCTTGGACGAAGGCGAGGCGTGGCCGGCACGAGGCTTGACGACGTGGAGCCGAGGACGAAGACGACGACGGGGCTGCTGCACACTTGACGAAACGCGGGCGGCGGACAGGATTGGCTTGACGGAGGAACGAACGCCACAACGACCGAGAGCGATGAGAGGACGACGATGAGAACCGGCGAGGAGGCGACGACGAACGCCGGCGGGTTCGGCCGAAGGGGAGGCGACGCCGAGGGCAACCTTGACGCTGCGATGCTGGAGGTGGAGACGGCGACGTCGGCCGGCGCATTGACGTGGCGGTAGGGTGGCTGGAGTTGGCCGGCGGCGTGGGAGAGAGAGGAGGGCGGCGGGGAGAGGTGGTGAGGCCACGGGAGAACGCGGGAAGGGGCTAAAACTGGAGAACGGATCGAGGGGGTTCCATTTTATAGGGGAGGAGAGGGAGCCGGCCACAGGAGAGGCGGGGAACGGCGGCGGAATTCGTGGCCGGCGGCCATGGAAGGTGGCCGGGGTTGGCGCGTCCGTTCCCGGCGATTGGGGCCACAAATCAAGGGGGAAATTAGGGGGAATTGATGAGGAATCAATGGGGATTAAAACCCCCTAATCAATTTCGGAAACCCTGGTTTGAATCGCGTGGATTTTGGGGAGGTTTGGCGCTAGGGTTTACACGGGAGAGAGAGAGGAAGGAGGCCGAGCAGGAGGAGGACGACGACCCGGCGCGTGGGCCCCACGTGGGCGCGCGGTCAGCGCGCGTGCACGCGGCTGGCTCGGCTCGGCCTGGTTTGGGCTGGGCGGCTGGGCCGAGAGGGAAGGAGTGAGGGGAGGGGCGGCCCAGAAGGAGAGAGAGGAGGAGGGAGCTGGGCCAAGGGGGAAGGGGAGGCCCAAGAGAAGGAGGGAGAGAAGGAGAGGGAGAGAAAGAGAGGGAGGAAGGGAGGACTTTAGCTGTGGGCCGAGAGAGAGAGGAAGACTTTGGGCTAGACTCGGCCCAAAGGAGGAAGGAGGATTATTTTTAGTTTTCTTTTTTTTAAAACTCTGATAATTGTTGTTGTTGCTTAATATTTATTTCCGGTGTTATGAAAATTCAAGTAAAATTTGAGGGCTCCTTTTAGACCAAGGAGAATTTAACAAAAATTCTTCGGGCCACATTCGAATTTTTCTTGTACGCATTTTAACGTTTGCCAATTTCTTTTCAAATTTTAATTAGAATCAAAATCTAACAAAAACATGTTTAAATTCAGTTCAAACTTGTTTTGAACTAGTTAGTAAAGTAGTTAACGTTATACCTAAATATTTTAAAAAATTTCATACTCATTTGAATTGAGTATATACTCAATTTAAATCATGGAGCACCAAACAAATATATGTGTGTGTGTCACCATAAGAAAAAATATATACATAAGTCTAAGTTGTCAATACAAACAAAGTGATTAATAAATAAGAAAAAAGTACTCAATTGATAAAAAGATAGCCAGGTACAGTAACTAAATGAAAATAGGTAAATGAGCGGGCATATCATTCTGGAGTTACTCGTACAATAATCAGAATAAAAGCTTTGGAAAACGGTGACCACAAACTTGCTGGAAACACGATATATATGGCACAACATTCACGAACCGCGAGGTGGGGCGTATGGAGTAATTGTGTTTCCCTGTTTGACGGACATAATGGCTTTTAAAATGGTTACCACAGAATACCGATAACTGATCCAGCCATGAGGAAGAATCTGAAGTTATTATACAGGAACCTGTGCAGAGTCACCGCCAGCTTCCGTTGCCGGTGGTAGTCATCGATTCCTGTCCGTATACGCATATAATCGTAACCGTAGGGTACGTGCTGGGTAATGGACTTAAAAAATTTGAGCGTTTGCTTGTCGCTAAACACCGGATATAGTATCCCCTTGGTGCGCAGCTCGCGCACGTCTTCTTCACTATTCATGAGCCCTGCAATAATATGCATATAAGAGCCCACGCCACAATCGCATCTCCCTGCCTTCGTCCGCTCAAATGCCACCATGTTTGCCAACCAGCACATAGTCCTCCGGCCAAGGAACAATGGAGGTAGAGATATCTTGCCGAAGAGGAACCGTTTCTTCACTACTGTGATGTCGCCGAACCGCGTCGTCTCACTCGGCTCAAAGTGGATGCCGTTCTCAGCTAGCTTTATAGCCGAAATGGCCAGCCGAGGTTCTGAAATGGGTTCGACCTTTGTTGGACGAGAGCCGATCTGGAAGTGACGAACAAGGTCTAGGAGGTGGGACGGTCTGTACTTGTCAAGTTGGACCTGAGGTCTCACCATCTGCTCGTCGAACCAGCTGATGATGTATGCAATGAACCGGTCGACGGATACATGCTTGAGGCTCATGAGGGCCTCAAGCACCACCCATGGGATCTGGTTCTCTAGGAGGAGGACGTCGCGCGCGATGCTGTCCCACAAACCCATTCTCCGTATCAGATCAGTCCAGGGGGACCGCGCGCGACGGTCCGCCGTGGACTTAATGAACTGCAGGAGGAAGCAGCCGTCGTAGAACATCATATCGGTGAAGTCGTTTAAGTCAATGCTGGTGGGATAGCATTTGCTAGCTTGCCCCGAAACCTTCTGGACAGTGAGGTAGAAAGCTGAGACCTTGTGCTCAGACTTGGAGCAGAACTCCTTCGCGGCCATCTTCTTGATATTTTTCATGCCTTGCAGATCCGGGTTGTCATGGTGGCATGGGCCAATAGCGACAACGTCCGGGTCGAAGAGGCTACCTGCGTTCTCCATGTTACGGAGTAACGCAGGGATCTTATGGATGAGTGGCTTGAAACCTCCCTCGGGGAACAGGCTTATCTTCTCAAGGTCTGCCACAACCTCGCGAACCTTGCTCGAGGACTCCATCTTGCCTTCCGAGCGCGAGCTTGCAAAACTAAATGCCTTGGGTCGGTAGCTACCTAGCTAGTATTAATTGGGTTACTTGCGGCTCCTCCACTATGTTCTTTCCCTTTTATAGGCAGCCTGCGAATCGTCTGTCTTCAGTAACTGCATCATTGCTACCTTTAGGCGCGCTCCTCCATCCATCTCCGAAGCTCACCTCTCAACTAGATCCGGCCTGGGGCCCTGGGCTGGATGGGAAAAAAAATGACTCTCTCCGTCCTAGTTGACTTGTCTCTTCGGAATTCAAATTTTGTCCTAAAATACTTGTCACAATAAAGTACTATTTGTCTCATTAATCACTTCTAATTCAAATTTATCTCCTTTTTACCCTCAACCACCCTTCTACATCTAAACATATCATATTTAATGAGAGGTAGTAAAGTCTTTTTCCTCAAACCTTACTCTATAATAAATAACCTAGAACGTCAACTAATATGGGATGGAGAAAGTACTATTATTCTACTAGCTCTTACCGAGATTATGCCTGGTGCCCCCTGAGATGGATTAAAAAAAAGTTTAATTTGATCCATATCATTGCAAATGTGGCTATTCACATAAATAACATTATAATTTGTCTATTCGTAGCTGTGCCACTCATATTTTATAAAATTAGAACCATGCCATCGACATCAAGTTTACATCTTCCCGCTCACCTGTATGTAGGACCCACATGCCAGGTTCCTTTTCTCCTCCATCTTCTCCTCTCTTTCTTTCACCTCTCTACCATTTATCTGTTTCTTCTTTCCGTGAACACAGGTAGAGCACAAGGAGGAAAGGAGCAGGGCGTCGGTGCTCTCAGCCACAGGAGCATTGGAATCTTTGGTTCTTTGCAATGTAGCAGCGCACCCTCCCCGACAAGCTCCGGACTAACCGCGGTTGCTCCAGCACTGCGGCAAGCTACTGAGCAGCATCCAGGCGTTCAAGGCCAGCAACGACTAGTAGCCAAGCTCGGTGTCTGTGCTCGACGCACCGGCGTTCCTCGCTGAAGAGCTCTGAGCCGAGGTGAGGCGCGCGCGTGAGCTTGTGGCGCCGCCGGACACTGACCTGGACCTGAATGAGCTAATCCCAGTGGTGGCGTGCGTGACCCCGCCGCTGACCACCACCGCAGGCCAACGTCGTTCCAGCAGCAGTGTGGCCTCCCCAGCGCGGAGGTACGCCATGCTGCAAATCGAGCGGGTGGTGTTCAAGGACCTTGTCGCCGTGCAGATCTCTTTCTCATCGCCATCTTCACAAGAACAGTGTGAAGAAAGAAGCGTCACCACCTCCCAGCCACTGGAGCACCGGCACCCCGCTCCACTCCTCTACCTGTGAAGAAAGAAGAAACGAAGAAATGGTGAAGAGAGATGGAAAAAAAAGAAGGGAGGATGGAGGAAAAAGATGAATCTGATGGATGGGTAGGTCCCACGTACATATGAGGAAGAAGATGGCAATGACATGGTCCCAATTTTGTGAAATATGAATGGCATGGCTACGAATAAGTGAATTGAAATGGCATTTATCTATATAGCTACATTTACAATGGCATGGATTAAATTAACCAAAAATAATACTACTTCACCAACTCACCTCCAGTGAATTTTAATTTTAAAGTCACGTGGCTTTAGAATCAATGATACTAATAGATACCCAGTGCTTTGCTGCGGGATATGTGAATGAATGAATGTTATACATTATAGAAATTTGATATATATATATATATATATATATAGGACACTCATATGGGGCACCATGGTGCCCGGGCACCATGGTATCTAATGCACAAAATTACTCAAATTTTTCAAAATTTTCAAATTGTGAGTATATACCTAGTTATAATAATTTGATTCATACCTATACTTATCAACAAAACAACTCAAATTTAACTTTATTTCACAATCCATAATTACATACCTAACTAATTATATGTATGGATGCTATATACCTAGAATCAAAATCTAACAAAAACAAGTTCAAATTCAGTTCAAACTTGCTTTAAACTAGTTAGTAAAGTAGTTAATGTTAATACCTAAGTAATTGAAAAAGTTTCATACTCATTTGAATTGGGTATATACTCAATTTCAACAATGATGCCCGGGCACCATGGAGCACCAAACAAATTTACTATATATATATATATATATATATATATATATATATATATAATATGAAAATGATGTGGAAATAATGATTTGACATTGCTTGCATAGTGAGTTCTAAAAAACAATAAAATTATAAATGATATGTCATATTTATATAATATTAAAAACGATCTAGATAATAATTGCTGGCACACCTGCATGTAATTTAAAATACTCTAGATAATAATTGCTAGTAGATGATGATGTGTGTCGGGGGAGTGATTCTCCGTCAGCGGGGAAGTGCAGAGCCCTACTAGAAATGAGAAATGAAGATCCGACCAGGGGGTTAGCAGTGCACGACGTGCAAGAAACAGAAACCTATGGGGTCCGAGCTCCACAGGAAGCAATGAACACTAGGAATTATATAGGTTCAGGCCACCCGGAGACGTAAAACCCTACTCCTGTCCTTTTTATTGCTACCTGGATCTGGAAAGTACAAACTATACCTTTTTCAAACTAAGAAACAAGCAACCTCTTTTTTTAGCATGTCCCTTTCCTTTTATAGCTTAAGGAGGGGCTCATAGTGCTATTTTTCTATTTCCCTTATGTTTTATATTTTAGACGTCTTGTCAATGTCGGCTAGTTCCCTCGTAGTCTCTCCAAGAAACCTACCAAAACACAAAATTGCATTGCCTCGGGCTCCCTGGGCACTCATTTGGGCCAGTTGGGCTACTCTAGCTCACCCGTCACGTGGCGAGTGGTGGGCCAGGCAACTCCCAACATACCTGAAACGGCGATGGCTCCTTTTCTGTCCTTCAGTCAGACCGGGTGTCACTGGGCACCACCAATCCTAATGACTCTAACATGATGTCCACGTCTTTTCGACTCCAAAATAGCTGGGGCTTCTTCCATAAACATGTTTCATTTATGGCAGAGAATGTTGCTTCACAGCTGGCTGTGGAATACATTCATCACCCCTACAAGCCTTCTGGTCTATGCCCCTGCATGTGTCATTGAAAAGATAGTTATGTTGTTTTTGGACGAGCTTCTCGAAGAAATCTTTGATGAAAAGATAACAAATATGTATATCTTATATGTCTCAACGCTCTTCTTAAAGAGATTGATGCATCTCACAAGGGTATAAGGAGGGTTCTGGTCCCATTACAGGCCGGGACGCTGTTGACGGTCCTTAAATCATAATATTTGACCGTCAATACATGCATATAATGAAATAAAACATGGTATCAAACTAGTGGTAGAGATTATTACTAATCAACTCCACTAGTGTTGGTGAAATAAGTGTATACATTTATTTTAAGTAGAAAACACACCTGTCATGCGAGGAAACACAGTTCCAGGCCAATCATACGCGAGCACACGGATTGGAGGGCCCACAAATCAGGTGAAACCACCATGGAAAAGGTCATAAATGCCATAACTGCTATCAGGGCGATCCAATCAGTCTCCTGGCCAAAGGAGAGGCCAGGAGGTGGGGCCTAGGGTTCGGCCGAACCATCACCGTCTCCTCTGATCCTGGCCTTCCACGTATACGTTGCTGATGCATTCCCAATGACGGTTGAGGGCGTTTTGGTCATTCCCCATACCTGTAACCGTCATATGGAGGCTATAAATACAACTCCTCTCTCTCACTTCACGGACACACAACTTTGAGCTGAATTACAAGAGGCTCAAATAAGAGGCACAAGTTTCATCTTATATATTTAAGATGTAGAGCTTGTAGGTCTCGACACTCCTCTCTAGGAACGCCGTGAATCCTACAAGAAGTCAGGGTCCCTGGAGCCCGGACTAGGCCGTAATCCAGGCTCCCCTTAGTTTAAGATCTTAAGATGTAGATCTTATATATATCTCCATGCTCCTCTAAAGGATGTGCTTGTGACGTACTAGGGCGATGCTGTGGTTGGGTCCTAGGGCAGGCTGGGACCCTGGACTCCCTTCGCCTTATATATTCAATATATAGATCTTGTAGGTCTCGACACTCATTACAGGAATGCCGCGTAATCTACAAAGTGCATAAGAGGGTTTGTTTCCCCGGTCAACCCGGGGACTTGAACATTTCAACCTATGACAATCCCGAAACACACAAGGAAGGGGTCGAGACCCAACCCCCCAGGTGGGTCCTTGGCCGTTTTACTCTGAAGATGCGTTTCGGTTTTAAGGATGGTTTAAGCATGTCATTTATTCTAACTATAAGAGAATACTAATTTATTGGGGGAATGGATACCCTGATTTCCATTTTACCAACATTGTGTCACACCTGAATACATTCAGCTTTAGAAGTTAGTGGGTATTAATTAACTTTAAAGTAAGAGATGATATGGGTATATAGTAAAAAAAAGATCGTTAGGATAGTTACTCAAAATCATATCTATACTTAATTAAAATATCTGTCTCTTTCCGTTCCTCACATCTTTTCGTCCGTCGCTTCGATTTTTCACCGGGCGTCCTTTTTTTCCCATTATTTTCGTTTGTTCTGTCTTCGATGGCTCAGTACGCAAGTAGAAGCTTTGTTTTGTTTGCGTTGCATATGTGCCTTTCCCACGTCTTTTCCAGTTCTAACGCTATTTTTTTTTCTGTTTTCACCCAGCGCAAGCATGATCAGTCAGCTATACTCCCTCCGTCCCATAAAAAATGAATCGAGGACCGGATATGATATACTTTAGTACGATGAATCTGGACATATGTATATCCAGATTCATGGTACTAGGATGTGTCACATCCGGTACTAGATTAATTTTTTATGAGAGGATTGAGTAGGTTGCTAAACAAGATACACAAATATACAAGCACATAGCATATTTTGTGTCTCTTTGACATCATCCTAAGTCCGCATCAAATCGGTTATGATCGGGATTTACATAGATCAGACTAAATTTAAACCAGTTCATA